CCCTGATTCTTTTTCTCTTGGCTTTTTTAGTTCTTTGAGTCAGGAAATACAAACTTTAGAAAGCAAATGTGCATAATAACATGTTGGAAAACGTGAACTAATTTACATTTGCCTTACACGTATACTTTTTTAAAGATGACACTTTTGTCTGAAGAAATACTGTCTACAAAAATAGCTTGTCATAAAAAGAAAACAATTTTCAGTAACATGTGGAAGTTCTGAAGGAGAGCCGAACCGAGGTGCCTTGTGGTACCACAGAGGCAGCGACAACTTTCTCTGGCAGATGATTTGCAATGAATCGTGTTTTTCTGATCTCTTCAGGATCCTACTCCAGTCTGTACTCCAACAGTGCTCGAGCGCCGGAAAGCTTCCCAGGTGGATGATGATGCAGAGGATAATGAAATAACTGTCAGACTGCCCCCTGCCAGTGTCAAGAATGCTGTGCAGAGACCAAAGAAGCAGCCAAGAAAAAGACCAAACCTGAAGAAACAGAAGTAGACTTAAAATTGTGATGGCTGTAGCCATGTTTTTCCTCAACTCAAAAACTGTTGAGCTTCTAGTGGTTCTGCTGCCCTGGCTTGGTTCGTCTTGACTAGTCTGTTTCAATCTTTCCTAGGCAAGGAATCTATTCACGAATCCTCCCCCTCCTGTTTAGCCATCAGGGGACCTATGGTCTTCTCTGCCTTTGAAGATATTCTTTACTTTGTGCTCACAAGTGCTCGTGCTGTGACAGACCCACAGTCGTGCCAGAACCTTCAGTTGATTCTGTAACTTGTCTCTGGCGCTCACTGTTTTGAAAGACAATGTGAGGCTGTCCATTCAGAACTTGCTGATGTGGGCTGTATCTTACATTTATAATTAATGATGGGTTTAAAAAAAAAATTAACTATTTTTCAACTGTGTTGGCTCTTGGTAGTGGTTCTTCTGTTTAAGTGAATGTCTGTGTTTCATGCAAGTTCTCACATAGTTACCCAAATAGTGAGGGATTTTTTTTCCCCCAAGGAAAACTTAGCTTGAATTTCATCTCTTGTTTGTGATCAGTCAAGATCTGCCTGTACGGTCCAGGGCAGAGGCAGAATACTGCGCTACCTGAGCAAGCCAGTGGCTTTCAGCCCTTCTTTCAGCAGTGCCTGGGAAAATCAGCTTTTGCCAGGATGTGGAGTAGTTGCAGAGGACTTGGAAAGGACTGGGATTAGGAAGGTGGTAAGAAGCAGCGGAAGATGGCAGAAGTCACTTGTGTTAAAGATTCCTGTTCCTTTCCCTATGCAGGCAAAAAAATTGTTTTTGAGAGTGTACCCTACTGTGGAGGATGTTGGGTGACCATTCTGTTGGCTGGTGGCTTAGCCAGCATCACAGCTACGCTTTCATTCCTCACACACTTGTGTAAAAGGCATTTCGCACTGCAGAGGTCCCAGGTGTTCACGTACTGACATACTGCTTTTCCTCTGGGCTGATCAGGCAAAGGTAACTTGCTAATTCTCTGTTGCTTTGTGCCATAAACGTGCTGTTGCATGGTTCAGAAAATGTTCAAGGACCCGTGAAGTGTGGCTGCCTTTAAGAAGGGCTTCTTGGTGAACTGTGGAGAGAGGCAAACGGTGACAACTCTTATGTCCAGCTGTTCTCAGAGTGAGCAATTCTCTTTGAGAAGATGCATCGGTAATCACAGCAGTCAGGGTTATATTAGGAGTTCTGTTGTTCTTTGGGCCCTGCAGCACCTTGTCCCTGTATTTTAGTTTCACAGCCTGTGTGAAACAAGGATATCTTTTGCTTTGGGGATTGATATGCACATCGCGATATTATAATAAACGTCTGGGTGGGTGAACCAGGAATGGGAAGGTAGGGTTTTGTCAGCAGTAGTACGAGTTCAGAGAACTGAGTGTAGCTTTTTGTTGTGCATCAAGATTTGTTCTTGTTCCAATATAACCTGTTATAGCTGTCTGCAGATAACCAGTCCTGTTTGAAAATGCAGTTTCACTGTGCAGTTAGAATTTGGATTTTATTGCAAATCTGAGACCTGCAGAAATTCCAGTTTGGGTTTTGTGGCATGTACTTAGCCTTGGTCTTTTATTGTCTGGGATGAAACACGATCTGCTGCTGCACTGTTGGCTGTAGGTCAGGCTTGGCAGAAGATTTCAGAGGAAAGCCCAGGTGATGATAACCGGCTGCTCAGGTGGGTGGCTGGCACTAATTCCTTGGTTATTTTAAGACTCGGACTCCTGGCAGAGGAGGAGAAATCTGAACCATTGACCTGGCTAATTCTGTTCTATCTGGCCTGATCACTTGAATAATCATGTGATCGTAATGACATTCTCTGGGTTACTCAAATTAGATCATTCTCCGTTGTCGCTCTAAACTGTCAGGGAAGCCACTTGGATGAGTGCGTCTTTTTATCAGATGCTTGTCATCTCGGGCGTGCCAGGGAAATTGTTGACCAGCCCAACGGTCACCGACAATCCTTGCCTTTTAGTAGCAGTGTTGCTGTGTGCATCTGCAGGCTTTCTTCTCTGTGCATTGTTTGATGTGAAACAGGCAGTGTTTACACCTCAAACCTGTGGAAAATACATCCTTAGCTAAGGTTCAAGATGAATGTGATCAGAGTGGTTGGCAGAAATTGCTTATCTATTAGTTACTGACATAAAGCTCTGAAAAAACTTTTCTATCTCAACTTCAAACAGCGGACAGCGGCAGAAGAGAAGCAAAATGCATTTTCCCAGAACAGACAGTTTTCTTTGAAAATCCATATTCCCGACTTTGTGTTGTGCAAATAAAGATGGCTGTTGGGTCAAGATGAACTAGAAATCTGGCTACACTTTCTCCTGACTGGAGCGGAGTCTCTTGGGCTCAGTCTGACACTTGGGGGCAGCACGCTTCGGTTGTGTGGATGCACGCTGCCCTCTGGCAAACGCAGCACAAGGTTTCCTCATCTCCCAGATTTGTACAGAAACCTGTCTAGTCCAGGCGGTTTGGAGTCACTGCCAGCATTGGTGTGACTAACACATCTCTAACACGAGTTAAGAACACAGGAGAAACCTGGTACGGATCTTAATCAAATATGCCCATTTCTTTGATGTTGCCACAAATAGTCCTTCCAAGGCTGTTGAGTTAAAGCTGCTCTTAAGAAAACTTAGTTTATCTCGAGTAGCCTATCCAGTCCAGTTCCACATTCATGGAGGCTTCAGCAGCTGCTGTCCCGTGCTTCCCATTCCAACCCCTTGGCCTGCATTTTGAACCTGGAGTTGCTTTTTTTTCCTACTCTGCTTCTGTTACTGTGCTCCTCTCTCTTCTCGATGTTCTGCCCGAGCCTGGGAGCCGCCTTCTGCTTCCTGCTTTCTTTTGTGTTTGACTCTGTGGCTTCTTTTCGTGCTGCTTGCCGTGCCTGGGCTATCCTTTCTAGCTGCATGAGCTTCCAGGGACTTCTGCTTCAGCAGACCTCTTGAAAAGGTTTGTGCCTTTAAGCTAGCACCCTGGTTGCTGCTCGCTCTCTGTATTTGCATGGCAGCAAGAGCCTTGATGGGAAGATGTTCAAGAAAGCTGTGCTTACAATAAGGTTTGTTTCCTGCTGTGATTTTCCTTTCCCTTCCTTTTGTTTATTGGTCTTCCTTCAATTGAGATCAGCTTAGATGGCAAATCTGAAAAGCAAGGAAACAAAATTCTGTGCTGTTTGAGTAAAGCACAACAATACCCAGGCTACAGCAAGGAACTCTCAGCAGAAGGGTAGCTTTTCTTGGTGATAGTCTCTGTTTTTAGGCTGCCAGTGTTATTAATATACTGCTGTCCTGGGAGATGTACATAAGCAGAAATTCAGACATCTGATACTTGCCAAACATAGTTTCCGTAGCAAGTGGGCAGACGTGCTGTGTCATGAGTTATGCCTCACAGTCCTTGCACTGATTTTTATTTCTCAGGTCTCCAGTCATTTGTTCATTCATATTGGACAAAGACAAACCTCCTGGCCACTGATTTTAGGGCAGGCTGCGAGTTGTTTTTACTGGGATGCTAGGAGCGTTGGGGCTTTGGTTTCAAGGCATAACTTGCAAGCTCTCTGACTTTCTGTAATGATTGACTTTGTGGAGCTGGTTTACTGAACACATGCGTATGTAGTACTGTTTGCAAGCTTCAGAGACATTTAGGTGCCAGCAAAGTCTGCTAATTTACACTCGTTTATTCTGATTTCTCTGTTTTGCAGGAAGGGAAGCTGGGCTTAGGAGTGCACAGCATTCCCCAGCACGTGAAGCACTGGGAGTAAAAGAGGAATGGGGTGGGGGAGAAAAGCAGAATTGGCTGCAAAATAGAGGGGAGAAAGGAATGATGAAGCTGATGCTCACCTCTAGAGAAAAAGGTGTTGGTGAATTTGGCAGTGTTAGACTGCTTGAAATGAAAGATGCCGTTTGATGTTTTTCTTATTTGTTTTGCCTGTTAGATGTGCTGTGGGATGCCCAGGCTGCACTGTGTGTAGGGAGTGTGCTGCAAACTGTGGTCCAAGTGCTAGTGCTTGCTCATGAGCCCTGAGTGGAGGAGGATAGCAGGCTGGGCAAGTGACACTTGCTCTTGCTGGTAACAAGCCTGTTTGCTTGCATACCTGGCTTTTAAAATGTCTGCAGCCCCGAGGAACAAGGCTAAAACCTGTCTGCAAATAGCTCATGGTGCAAGGGAGGATTTGTGCATGGCTCTGAGGGGTGCATCCTCTCTTCCTCAAGTAAAGCACCAGCGAGGCAGAGGGTAGCTCTAGCAAATTCCTCCTCTCCCAACTTTCCCTTCAGAGTGCTGGGGTGTTTGGTTCTCACTTTGCCTCTATGATGCAGCTGGCCAGGGTAGGGCTGTGTTGTGTTGTGTGCCGTGCCCGTCCCTGCCCTAGGCAGGGTGTTGTAGGTGAAAGCTGGGCAAGCGGGTAACGGGAGTATGGTGGATGTGATCTCCATTAGGTGTTTTACAGGAATACCCATGAGTCCTCCTCTTGGACTAGACTCCTCCGTTGTCCAAGATGCTGTTCAAACACATCCTGTTTTCCGGAGTTTACAATCTAACCCACAAAGCCTTGAAATGTCCAACTCCAGGCAGGAATAATCTGCACCTTCTTGGCCAGAGATACGTGGGGGACTACCCCAGGGTGCTGCTGGAATGGTGGCGGTGGGGAGGGCTGTTCTGTGCGTCAGGCTGCTGCCTTGGCACCTCTAATCCAGGCACGTCCCTCCCTGCCCAAGGCCAGCAGCTGTCAGATCAAGCTGAGGAAACGGGTAACTGCATGAGTGAGAATTGCTGAAGTGAAACATTTTCTCCCATGCAGGGTGCAGCAAGACCTCTCACCACTTCTCCCACCCAGCGTTAATTAAGCATATGGCAGGGACAGAGATGCTGGCTGTCCTGGGAAGCTTGGACTAGTTGCACAGCTGAGTTTCTGTGGCCAGTGACTATGGATCCGCTGTGCTGGGAAAGGGTAAGCTACAGAGAAGCTCCCACAGAAGTCTTGGCCCCGATCAGGGAAGAAAATGCTGGTTTATAATTTTCTTCTAAT